TAAAACTTGATGACAATATTATTTGGTTACCAACTTGATTTAAATCAGCATCTTCATTATAAATCATATCATTTAATTCATGATATGTTTTAGTTCTTAATTTTGCTTAATTATTATATTGCTGATTTAAATTATTTGTTTCCCATTTTACATATTGGTCTACTATATATTGTTGAAATAACCTTTCTGCACGATGTAATATACTACTTGTTCTGTTTGAGTCTCTAATCATAAATCTATATACTACAAACTCTCTAATAGTTACTGTATTTCTTTTCTTTTTTTGTTGAATATTTGATGATTCTAAATTTTCTTTATCAGATTGTTCAATTGTTCAGATTCAGAAGTAGTATTATTATCATCATCATTATTATTATTAGTATCACTATCATTATTTTCAGATTCAATAATTTCTTTATATTTTTCTTTATCTGTTTTTTTTTGCTGAGTTTTAGATATACTACTATTATTATCATCTTTTTCTGATTCAGTTTGAGATTCAATATTATCTTTTTTTAATTCAGTTTGAGATTCAATTTCTTTTTCTATAATTTTTTCTTTACTAAGTTTATTAATACTCATACTTGTAGAGGATTTAAGAGCTATATCATCAAAAACACCTGATAAACCTGAACTTCTTTGTAATAAATTGTCAAATTCAACAGTCATTGTTTTTGAAAAGTCATCAACTTCAATAATTTCTTTTTGTTGAATTTCTTTTTGTTAACTTTTTTCTTGTTGAATATCTTCTTTAGTCTCTTATATATAATTATTAATTTTTTGTTGCCAAAATTCGCTTAATTGATCTTTAGTCATACCTGCAGTTAAATTTGAATTAAAATCTTTAATAATATTTGTAGCAACTTGATTAGCAATTTGATCTTCTTCATCTTTTTCAAATTGGTTAACAATTTCTTCTTCTTCAATTATTTTAAGAAATTCTTCTTGTATATTAATATCTTCATTTTTATTTTGTTTAATTGCTTTTTGTTGAACATTTGCTCTTAATATACCTTTATGCCAACCATATTCTCCAAATGGAAATAATATTGGATATTGTAAAGAATTATAAGCACTATGTAATTCTGATATTCTTATTAATGTATTATTATTTCTTTTAATAATAATATCTCTTTCATTTAGTTTCTCTTTATCACTTTCATAACCATATATTATAGCTACTTCATCTGCTTTTGGTGTATTATAAGTTCTCATATCTTTACTATGAATATTATGTATTGCTATATATAATACTTCTGTATTTGATCTTTTTTCCTTATTTCTTGCATATCTAAATATTTGAACAAATAGATTATTATTAAACAATTCAAATTAAAGTTCACTTAACATTTCCTTATTTAATAGTTTATTTTTATTCATTATTTTATGTCTTCTATAAGTTGGCTATCGAAATTATCATCATCATAAAAATATATTTGAGCAAATTTTGGTTCAGGTTTTTTCCTTTAAGTTTTTAGGCATTAAAGAACCATGTTGATAATAATGTTGTCCTCAAATTTTATAAGTATAAACTCCTTTTTTAGTATTGGCAAGTTTTTTATCTAATATTGCACCACTAATTGATATAAAAGCAAATATGCTATTATTTTAGAAACAAAAAATTTATTAGATTCTGGATCTTTTTTCTGTAAGTAAAATTTCAGTTGCTGGTGGTGGTGATTTAAGTTGTGCTAATTGGATTTGTCTATTTAAACAACAAAATTCTCTTTTATCTTTTTTTCATTTTAAAGCAAAACAATGTTTACAAATAATATTCATTTTTTCTAATCTATGTCTTTTAATATTATTATCATTATTATTATCACTATTATTATCATCATCTCTATCATCATCATCATTATTATTATTATCATTATCATAATTATCATCATCATCATCATCATCATTATCATCATTATTATTATTATTATTATCATCATTATCATCATCTCCATCATTATCTCCATCACTATTATTTCCATTATTATCTCTATTATTATCTCTATCATCATTTCCATTATCATCTTTATTATTATTCTCATTACTATTATTATTTTTATTATTATCTTTATCTTCATTATTATCTCTATTATCTTTATTATTATTATTATCATTATCATCATTACTATTATTATTACTATTACTATTACTATTGTTCTTTTTTTTCTTTATCTTCTTTTTATATTTATCTAAACTACAAAGTTCTATTTTAAAAAATTGTTTTAATTCTTCTTCTTTTTTTTCTTTATATCTTTTTTTTTATTTTTTCTATCCTTTTTTTTATTTTTTCTTTTTTATCTGTATTTATAGAAGCTCTATGTTTTTTTTGTCTTAGTCTAGCATCTTCTTTTGAACTTGTTTGTGATCTTGTTCTTGATGATATTGGAGAAATTTTAGAT